CTACATGTCTAAGTTTGATTGAGATAACGGAATTATTCTGCGGCGGCGGCGCGGCTAAGCATCACATGTTAAATAGTCTTTTTGCCCTCCAGCATTGTACGCATGCGCAAAATTTCCTTACGTAAATAACATGCAGGGGGTCTAGATTTGCAAATCCGATTATAATTAAGTCGGTGCCTCACCAGCTATGAACCTCACCGCACGTCACTGGTGAGTGTGGTATTTTCCCGACCACCTATATTCCTGACTCAGTGGGCAGCAATTAAATGGCGCATGTGTGGCTTGCCGCTACTTAACAGTGGGTGTCAGGTTACGATGTGTTGCATTCAATGTTATCGGAAAAAAGAGTTCCTTGCGCTTAATATCCGATTTTCCATAACTATTTATTGAATTCATAGTCCCCAGCTGGGGTGGCAACAGGGGTGGCAAGGCTCTAAGTTGGGGTGGCAACTGCCACCCTATGCCACCCCAGTAGATCCGCCCCTTGTCTCAGGGGTTCGGCGGAGCCTCTGCCGCGGAGGTAAAGACACACTTGTGAGTCGTGATGACGCCCCGCTTTACCATCACTCGCTGCAGAGGATGACGTTACATTGCTTAGCCAATCAGTGCTGCGGAGGAGCACTGATTGAAGGAGCTCCACTCTTAGAATGGATTTGAACTTGTGTCTTTTATTACTTCAGCAAAGCTCACCGTTTTTACCAAATTCTGTAGCTTTCGGTGCACAGTGATCCCTCGCTATAACGCAGTTCACCTTTTCGGAACGCAACCCCCGCGAAAAACGAGGGATCACTGTACTTCTAAATCTGCTCCTTGGTCGCATCTTTTCGGGGTTGCTACTGCCTCTAGTGCCGTGGGGGTAGTAACACAACTAATATAATTACATTACTAAATCAGAATACCGCAAAGTCTTTATTTATTATTAATTTTTTATTCTCTTAAGACTGTAGAGCTAATTAAATGATCTAAACAAAACCTTAAAGTGGTTCCAGTTTCTCTCGATGGTCAAACTGTTAAAACTGTGGCAAATTTTAAATACCTTGGGTTGTTCCTGGA